TTTCTACTGCAATAGAACAGTGATGTAGTTGTATTATAAAAGATTCGGAATCCAGAGGACCAGTGTGCACTCTATGACTTTGCGAGGATTGAATTAAAGCTAAGACAAAGATGATTTGATGCGAAAACTAAAGAAGTAAACAAAACGGCAAACAATGATTTAAATTCGAATTTCGACAGACACTAGATCAAGACAATTCGCAGGAATTTCAGAGATAACAATCAGATGACTATTCAGGACAAGGTTAAACACAAGTCTTGAACTCAAACAGAAATGCATATCGACCCACTGTCGTGGCATCGATAACTTTATCTAACAACCTAAATTCTAAACTGTCGTTTGAACTTAGAAAATTGCAGACAAGCATTAACAATCTGGTTTGATCTGTTCAAGATTTGCCTTATCTTCAACTGTCGTTGGCTAAGGACAAATCGCTCACCAATGTTAATTCTAACAACCTATTACACTTTTGATGAATAGATTAACCTAAAATCATAAATCGAGTGATCAGTTCAACCTAAGCATTAAATTCAACAGAGGTGAAGACAATTGATTTTAAGCCCTATTTGCATCTAACTCTCTAACTCTTGAAATCCTTTGAAAACCTTAATCTAGCTAAGAGATCTACTCAGACATGAAGAAAAGAAACACAACAACAGATGAAAAGGAATTCATGAAATAAATTGCAGAAGAGATAATAGGGTTCAGAATTCTTCTCAAACTATAGCAGATTTCTTCTCCCAAAAACTTACAAGTAAAAACTCTCTGGTTCAGAAATATTGTAAAAAGAAAGCATAAAAAAAGTTCTATAAAACGTGGGTCTGTTTCTGAGGCGGCTCTGGACTTTTTATTCTCTTTCTGGTCCCAGAATTAGGTTAAAATCATTTTCCTTATTTTTCTCCCAGTTGGAGCAGGTGCTCCACACAGAAGGTCGAAATCGAGAGCAGGTGCTCCGCGGAAGACTTCTTTAATTACGTATGAAATTTGCTCCTTTTTGCTCAGCTTCATCTCTTTTTGCTCCAAAGTCTTTTAGACCATCCAATCCTCAGCTAAAGCCTCATAGTCACATGAAACAACCTGAAAAAGACTCTAAAAACTCCTAAAAAGATTAGTAAACACAGGTTAAAATCAGTCAAAATAGCCACTTTTCAAACTACATGTGGTAAAAGAGACCGTTTTTTATTGTTCCCCAAATAAGAAACGTTTCTAAAACTTTTGGGCTTGAATCAAATATATATATATATATATATTATTATTATTATTATTATTATTATTATTATTATTATTATTATTATCCTAGTCTAAGAAACGCCCAAGAGACCCAGATTAAGATGGTCTAAGAGGTCTTTAGAATCACTAAGCAATGTGCAGACTCAAACTCATTGCCTGGTTTGAACCAATACAATGCACTAAACATATCATAGAAATTAAAAGAATACAGAATTTCTCAGTTCAGATATAACTTACCACTTTCCACCAATATGTCTAATTTTAGCTATCAATTCCTCATACAATCCTCAATTCTCCTCTGTCATAGAATTGTCCATCTATCTCGTCTATGAGTTTACTTTGACTAAATTAAGACCTTTAAAACTAAAGAACAAGCGGAAAACTTACTTCGACTTGGCTCTTCTTGGCCACATTCGACCAGTCCTTCGCATGAATACTTGTCCTCCAATCAAAGTCAATGATTAGCATCGTCTCTGGTTAGTGATTGACGGCAGAGAAGCAAGTAATGTAATCTCCTGTTTTGACCGCTGTTACAAGCCAGCTTTGCGAAAGAAAGTTGGTCCCTGAACTTGGAGACCTCGTTCCGGATCATATGCTCAGCTTGTGGCTTCACAAACATACAAGTAGTGTCCAGTTTCAGTACTTAGGAACATCACTGCAAGAAGAAGAAAACAAGAACAAAAAAAACGTAAATAAAAAACTGAAGATAAAAGATGTGATTCATTACAGTATCAACAAGAAAAGTAAAATCTACCAGGAACTAACACTTGAATGTAGCAAAATCCAGCCATTGGAATCAACTGAAAGCTCGGTTAATTTGGGATTTGACATTACTGAACATTACGCCTCTCAGCTCAAAAACACACAACCTCATCAAAAGATGATCATACGAGCAAAGAAGGCTTAACCCGGAGGCAGAAACAGTAACCGATGCTTCTTTCTTTGAAACTATACTAATGATTTCAGAAATCACCTTTGAGTCAGGCTCTGGTTCGTTATATGGAATGTGCAACAAGCGGTGACATAAAGCTAGGTCCTCACTGCCAATTAAAAAAAATCGAAACAGGTGTGAAGAAGGAGAATCAAAAGTAATCATTTTCTCCAAATCCATTTTCGTGCAGATGACTAGGAACAAGCAAAACAAAATTGAAGCAGCTATAAAAAGACAAAAGTACTGAAGAAGAGAGAATGGAGACAGCAAAACTGACCGTGCGCGCTTGTAGAAGGTACTACGAAGCATATCCGCAATGGCACACCGGCGATTTATCGATTCTGAATTTAAAGGGTTTAAGCAGGAAGCGACGACTCTGTTGGTAATAGAAGTCATAACGAATGGACTTACTGGCTGTACTTGATTCTGGCCGGTGTGATAGATATCGTCGGTAAAAAAATTAGGAGAAGAACAATGAAGAAAAAAATGGTCGATATGGTCGAGAGATGGTGAGGGAAATGGTCTCTCCAATAATTTTCCACATAAACGAATGAGAAAGTGCCATGTGAGTTAAGAACTTTTCTCTAAGAACTGGTTCTAAAATTTTTTCTTTAAAAACCGATTCTAATAAAAATTGAACTTTTACAATTATTTTAAACTCAATAAATGTTAAGAGCCCCACATAAAAACTCTTCTGAACCCTGCGTTGGACCTGCTCTTATAAATCTGAATGAAATTTACTATGTTGCCAAGATCTTAGAGCATCATTATCTCTAGAATCTATAAAAGTTTTTTTATAAATTATTTTTATTAAATTTAGGGAAGAAAAAAAGAAGAAAGAGAAGGAAAAAGAAATGGTTGGAAAAAAAGAAGAAAGAGAAAGGAATAGAATTTATTCTAGCCAATGAAAATCTGACACATGCACTTTTTTTTTTTTGTCGTCAACACATGCACTTAAACACAGTTTTTTTTAAAATCCCAAATAAGGATCATTTCTTGACCAAATCAGCAATTAATTTTTATTTTAAGAGAATATTACCATTATATGTACTTTTTGAAAGTATAATTGCCAAAAAAATACTTTCTAGAAATGGTGAACTTATTTTACTTTGCTCCGATTTTTTGACTTTTTTGACATTCTTTTCTTTTTATCTTCTATTTACCTACAGAAAAATATTAAAACATACGTGACCCACTTAAATTCACTAATCAGCTTCCACACACTAAATCGCATAGGATCCACCTTAATTCATCAGCTTCCACACACTAAATTTTTTTTTGGATGAATGTTAAATTTATTCAAACCCGAAAAAAAAACATCGTTTCTACATCAAGGATGCGAGCGTTTTAATAAGAACATAGGCTAGAGCTTTTAAAAAGTAAAAAAACAACACAGATGAAATCATATCCTGGTTGTTAACCAGGTTTGTAACCCATCTTCGTACTTAGTGTCACCAAGCATTCTGATTGATCTAAAGCGGTTTTTCATCCCCTTATCGATGAATGTGATCAGAGTGGCTACTGTTTTTGGAATGGATCCATGTCTTCTGTCATTTCTCTCCCTCCATAGAACATGAATAGTCATCTGAAATAGGTAGCGCAGAGCAAAATTTTGTAATCGATTACTCCTTGGACTAGAAATGATCGAAACCAAATCCGCCCAAACATTTGTGTAGTCTCTTAAGAGTATTCCCTTGGCCAAATTTTCCCAGACCTGCGACGAGTAGGGGCAGGAGAAGAAAAGGTGAGAGCGCGTTTCGTAGGGGTCCTGGCACAACACACAAGCTGTAGATGCATTTGGTGTCCATCGATGTACTCTGTCTGCCGTTGATAAGCGATCATGTATGGCAAGCCAAGTTATAAAAGCATTTCACGGGCTGTTATGTGTAAACCAAATTCCTTTTGACCAGCTAATCCGAGGGAATCTTTGTCTGATGTGTTCTCGAGTGGCTTTTGTATCAAACACCGGTTTAAAAATGTTCTCCTTACTCTTCCAGAGAAACTTGTCATCCACGTTCGCTCGGAGCTGAAGCTTTGCATTGTCAAATTGCATCTTCAATGGTGTTTAGACTTTGGACTCTATGTCGTTGACGCCTGTGCGAGCTCAATACCTCACTAACCGTCGCTTCCTCTCTGATGCCCATATCCACTATTCCCCTAGCACCAAGTAATTTAAGTATCTGCCCCTGTGGTGACCAGTTTTCATACCAAAACAGTGTGGATCTACCATTCCCAGCTCAACACGAAAAAACTCTGCAGCTCTTTCACGCATTTGCAGAATTTTCTTCCACATCCAAGAGCCCGGCGAATTGCTTGTGGGTTCTGGTGTAGTCCAAATTGAGCCATGGCGCATTAGATTATGCCTTATCCATCTCACCCAAAGAGAGTCAGCCATTACTAGTCGCCACACCAGTTTTAAAAGACTAACCTCGTTCGCTTCATGGATACTTTTTAAACCAAGACCTCCTTCCTCTCGTGGTTTGCATACACTCTTCCAGGCAATCTCCGCTTTCCGTAGATTCAAGTCAGGACCAGACCACAAAAACGCAGAGCAGATTCGTTCGATTTCAGCAATACATCCCGCTGGTAATCGAAACGCAGATAACCAAAAATTGAGAGTGCTTGCAACTACCGATGACAGAAGCTGTAATCTTCCACCAAATGACAGAGCTCGAGCATTCCAAGAATTGAAGTTGCCCTTGATTCTGTCGATGAGCGGCATATAATCCAGAGATCTCATTTGCTTCGTGAGTAGAGGTAACCCAAGATACCTCACAGGTAAAGATCCAAACTCAAAAGGAAAGTTCTGCGAAATACTCTCTCGAACAGAGTCTGTTACACCAGCGATAAAAATTGTTGATTTCTCAACACTAATCCTTAGCCCACAGCGTTTTGAGAAGTCATCAAAAACCCCAAAGATTCCCTGAATCGATCTCAATGTCCCATCAGAGAATACCATTAAATCATCAGCGAAGCAGAGATGCGTTAAGCTTATGTTAGAGCACTTAGGATGAAATCCAAATTTCTGTTCAATCGCTGCTTTATCTAACATTTTGGATAACACATTCATACAAATGACGAATAGATACGGCGACAGAGAACAACCTTGCCTTGGACCCCTAGAACTGCCAAAATAACCACACAACTCGCCATTAACTTGTACAGAGAACGAGGCCGTTGATATGCACAAGTCGATCCAATGTATAACTGCAGGTGGCAAATTCAAAGCTTCCAATGTGCGAATTAAAAAATCCCAGTTGACCGTGTCAAAAGCCTTTGAAACATCAATCTTCAGAGCACACCTTGAAGAGATAATACTTTTATGATATCTAGCTACCAGTTCGGAAGCGAGCAGCAGATTTTCGATCAGAAGCCGATCTTGCACAAAGGCTGATTGGTTGGAAGCAATGAATCTTGGTAGAAGTTGCTTCAATCTGTTAGCCAATATTTTTGAGATTACTTTATATAAGACATTGCAACATGATATCGGTCAAAAATCTTTCATCTCTTTTGTCCCTTCTTACTTTGGAATAAGTGCCAGAATGGTGGAGTTAACCCCTTTCGGAAGAAATCCTTTGATGAAAAATGATTGCATCCCAACCACAAAATCGCCCCCTATGATCTCCCAGCTCTCTTTAAAAAACTCCACCGTATAGCCATCAGGTCCTGGCGACTTATTCGAAGCCATAGCGAATAAGACCCCTTTCACCTCCTCTGCTGTAACCTCTTTCAACAAGTTCTCCTCTGAACACTGGAATCCAAGTAACTCTTGAATATCATGAACATTTGTCTCGGAGATGTCATCTGGAGCGAAGTTAAGGAACCCCTGAAAATGATTCACCGCTGCTTCTTTAATTTCATTCCTCTCTGTTATTAAAACACCATCTTGCGCTAGCTCTCGGACACCATTCCGTGCCACTCTGCATTTTATAGCTCGATGAAATATCTTATTATTTCTATCACCAACCTTCAGCCAATGAAGCTTTGCCTTTTGAGCTAAGAACCTCTCCTCCAGAGACACATTCCTCTCCCATCGATCAAAAGCCTTAGATTCTTCTTGTTGATGTCGCTGCGAAGGGTCATTCAAAGTCTATTCTTGCTTGTAACAGAGCAACTCGTAGTCCTCCTTTACCCTGCGGGATATATCACTCAGCAAGTCCCTAGAAACAGCTCTCGCTATTGGTTTCAGCATCTTCAGTTTTTTTGAAAAACGGAAGGTTGCCGAAGTTGAATGGAACAGAGGGTTTGTTGAATCCCAGTATTTCCTGAGTGCATCTTTAAACTGTTAAGTTTTGGCAATCACGTTTAAGAACTTAAAAGGCTTCTTAGATTTTCGAGTCGTAGCATCAACGTAGAACCTACAACGCAAGTGGTCTGAACAACCGCCTGCTTCAAAAACGCAGTATGAGCTTTAAAAATGATCCAACCAGGCATCATTAACCAACAACCTATCAAGTTTCTTGCATATCAACCCCTCCGATCTTTTATTGCACCATGTAAGCAGAGGTCCATGTGACCCCATATCGCTCAAGTCGCAATCGCGAACAGCTGCTTGAAAATCCTCCATTCCTGACGCTATAATCGAGCCAGAATCAGCCCCCGAGTGCTCTTCTCTGGATAGTATCTCATTAAAATCACCCATTATCATCCATTTCATCCTCCAGTAGATCGGTGAAGTAGCCAAATCTCTTAGATTTCTCCATAAATTTTTCCTCTCTTCCAAGAAGTTAGAGCCATACACAAAAGAACATAAAATTCCTCCACTCCTTGCAATTTCACTAAAACCGTAATCATCTGACTTGTCTTTAAAACAGGGGTATGTCTAACAGATTCATGCCAGATTACCCATATTCTCCCCAACTGATGGTCCTCGTAGTTGTTTAGGTGTGATCAATTTGGAAAAACCTTTGCAACTATACCATCAGCTTTACTTTCTACCACCCGAGTCTCCAGAATACCACCGAACAAAAAGTCACAGTCTCTGCACCAACTACTCATAATCTTATGTTTCTTTTTCTGATTAAAACCTCTCAAGTTCCAAAAAAAAACCCGACATTACTGATTGGATTTAGTTGGACGACCCTTGTTTCTCTTTCCCGTAGCCTGAGTGGGATTCGGGTTTAGGGGAGGCTTTACAAATTTGTGTGTCAATTTTGAGCCTCTCGGAAGAGGGACTCGGCCACTCGCTACCAGATTTGCAGACTGTTCTTGGATTTCACCTTGGGTCTGCTGCTCATTGTCAACAGATTCCTCAGCTTCGTCTTTGTCATTCTCAATATCTCTGTTCTCCTCCTTCCCCTCATCATGATCCGTTTCCTCATTTAATAATGAAGCGAACCTCGATCCTGATCCCTCAAGCTCTCCCACGTTTACTTCCCTCTATTTTGGTGATTTCCTTGCCAGAGATTTAAATTTCTCCCACACTTCCTCCTCCACATTTTTCTCTCGCGTGGAGCACACTTCAATCAGACCTCCCTCTCCTCCCCTCTTTACAGACGAAGTTGGGGTATCAGTATGTTTCTTACTTCCTCCATCCCCTTTCAGATCTTTCTCCTTCGATAAAGCAGAGGTTGCTTGCTTGCGAGATCTAACATCAATCTCCATCGAGATAGGCACTTCCACAGGGGCTTCCTTATCTCTACGGATATCTGATTGTGGACTTGTAGCTGGAGATTTTGTTTGTCTGCTCAAGATAATCTTATCACCAGGCACCGCTTTGCAATCTGCTGCGCAGTGACCCCATTTAGCACAAGAAGTATATCTTGGTGGCATCCAGGGGAACTCGTAGTAAACCACTGTGTCCAAACCTGTCGAGGATTTGAAATCAAACGATTCTGGTAGCTTCCTATGTAAGTTAACGTCCACAAACACCTTTGCTTCCTCAAAATTTGTTGCCCACAACGTATCCTGATGCAATTTCTTCGGTTCACCAAGAGGACTAGTAAAAAAACTCAGTCCTTTCCAGGAAAACATCGAGCTGGGAACATTCCGTAACACCACCCACATCGGAATAGAGGTGATTTCCGGTTGAGCTTATTCAACAATCGGACTCCACTTAGACATGATCATTGGGACGTTTTTTATGCTCCACATTTCTCTTCGTAAGACTCTGTTCCGAATTGTAGGATCAGAAATCTTGAACTTTATGGTGGTTTCGTCAACAACGAAAACCTCAACTTTTTGGATTTATCACCAAGCGTCCAAATCCGATTCACCGTCATGTGTATCAACCCAACATGAGGAGCTTTCGAGCCGAACTTGCCCACCAAACAATCTTCCCACAGCGGCGGGGCATCCTCAAAATCACTATCAGGAACATTAATAGTGTCTACACCATTAACTTCCTCTACCACCACATCATAAGATCGCAATTTGGAGGCTTCCGAGGCCACAGATGCCCAGGATTTCCCCAAGGTTTTTGCAGCTCCCACCTTCGCATCTCCAGTCTCGACCCTCTCCGCTTTGCGAACCGCCTTCGATTCCTTCCCCTTCACAACTCCCTCTGCTCGTTTTTCCTCCACCGACCGAGAAACCCCACCTCTCTGAGATCCATCAACTTTGATCTCCTCATCCACTCCCACAACCTTCGAGCCTGAAACCTGTGTCTCCGGAATCACCACAGCCAAGTCGCTTGATTCCCGAGTCTGAACTGCATCCTCCGTCGCATCCTGCACAACCTCCGGCGGTGGAACGAGGTGTTTCGGCCCGCTATAGCACTCACTTGGGCCGCAAGATTCGAGAAACCCTAGAGTAGAAAATCGCCAATTGAGTCGTCCTGCTGACGTGTCCTTTTTTTTAATTTCAAAATTAAGAAAAGGTTGTTTCCACCACACACTAAATTGCACAGAATCTACATATATATGCAACTATATGGATACATATGTAAATATGCACATATGTTTATATAGTTACATCCATCTATAACATATACACATAAATATGCATATATATTTATATAATTGTGTCTATATATATGTATTTATATGGATATATATGTAAATATACATATATATCTATATAGTTACATCTATCTATACTCTATGTACGTGGATATGCAAAAGGAATAAAATAGTCATTTGTCTTAACCAAATAGAAAAAAGTATGTCTTTTGGTAATTAAATTTAAAAGTACCTGAATATTACATTTTCAAAAAATACACATAATGGTAACACACTCTTAATTTAGTTAAAAAAATATCTAAGAAACTATATTAGAAGCTAGCAATAATGATGGTCTCATAAACAAAGTTTTGCAAAGTTATGTCACAAAACCAGTCAACTCTGAGATAAAATTAGAAGTACCTGAGATAAAATTAGAAATTATGTCACAAAATCAGTCAACCAAATAGAAGAAAAATATGTTTTTTGGTAATTAAAACTTAAAAGTACTTAAATATTATATTTAAAAAAAATACACCTAATGGTAACACACTCTTATATTAATTAAAAAAAATCTAAAAAACTATACTAAAAACCAGCAATAACAATGGTCTCATAAACAAAGTTTTGCAGAGTTAAGTCACAAAACCAGTCAACTTGAGATAAATTAGGAAGAAAAAAAGTTTCAGCATTATTTGACTAAATTTTTCGTCGGCAACTAATTTAAAAAATAAACACATAAAATCAAAAATTAACAGATACAAAATCTTAATCCTTTTCTTCAATATACGTAATGAAACGACCTTTCCAAATTTAGAACGTCATCATCATTTGCCTTCGATTCCTCCGCTCTCTACTCTCTCACTCTTTACTACTTAGCTTCCCTCTCAGAATCTAAACGCATAAAAAACAAAAATTAGCGTCTCCAAAACGCACCTTTCGCATCTCTGAGGCGTTTTGCGTTCAGCGTTTCCGGCGATGGCTCTCCAAGCCACTACTTTCTGCTTCTCCGGGCCTACTCTCCGATCAAATCCTCCTCACTTACTATCCTCAAAGCGTCGTACCGCCATTAAATCTGCTTCTTCGGGTCTCTCTTCTCCGCCGCTGCTCTCAGTTTCACGATCTAATACCAAAGGTTAAAGCTTTTCTCATCAGTCGAAATTATCTTAAGATTTCAGAAATTCTCTTGAAATGCTGAAGTAGCAGAATCTCGTTGATCCCTAGATTGTTCTTGATCCATTGTTTCGATGATGACTGTGTTTTAACTTAGTATGCTTAAGCTGCAATTGAAATGTATGTAATTAAAGTAACATGAATTGTTCTTAGATGTCTCTCAAAATCTATTTTTGCTGCTTATGAATCTAAGTATCTCTTAAACATACTTAACAGTTCATAAGCTGCAATTTATGAATCTAAGTATCTCTTAGATATTCTTACTGTTCAAGTATCTATTTGCTGCTTAGAACTTGCTGGTTTCTTGTTTTATGCTTGTTTTTACTTTTGGCGATTTGATTCAACAAAGAATATGTTTTTTAAAGAGATGCATATGCACTAATGCACATGAGTACATGACTACATATATAAAGTTGTTGAAGAGCTTTTGCTTTGTGGTTTAAAAGGAAGAGCATTCTCTAGCGATGGCTCAACGCAAGAGTCTCCCTCTGTGGTGTGTTTTGGTGAAATGCTGATCGATTTTGTGCCAACAACTAGCGGACTGTCTTTAGCCGAGGCACCAGCTTTCAAGAAGGCTCCAGGCGGTGCGCCTGCGAATGTAGCCGTAGGCATCGCTCGACTCGGTGGTTCATCAGCTTTCATTGGGAAGGTGAGGCAAAGGTTGTGCTTACTTTACAGCTTTTAAAATCGAAAACTCCGATCTTTCTTTAGTTTCTTGAGAATATGCTAATGTTGTGGTGCACAGGTTGGTGAAGATGAGTTTGGTTATATGCTTGCCAATATTCTAAAGGATAATAATGTGAACAATGGTGGCATGCGTTTTGATCCTGGAGCCAGAACTGCTTTAGCTTTTGTGACTTTGACAAGCCAAGGGGAACGAGAGTTCATGTTCTATCGAAATCCCAGTGCCGACATGCTGTTACAAGAATCTGAGCTTGATTATGATTTGATTAAAAAGGTAAATACTAAATTTGATACAGTGCACAACACCATACATTTTGAGTCCTCTTTGATCAAACTTCATTGATTATTTTAGTTGTGCTCGATCTTTTCTTGATCTGTTCATTTCATACATGATCTCATCTGGTAAAGGCTTTAATGTAGAGCATAACAGTATACCAAAAGTTTAAGAGTTATATTCACTGGATTTTGGGGCTTGTGAAACTATGAAGCAATATTGTGAATAGTATAAACTAAGGTAAAGTAATTGGGACAAGATGAAGTAAAGAAGATATGATCCTAAGCTTCCATGTTTCTATTTTTAGTTGTTACCTAAAACATTTTGTTCTCTGCATTATGTGGTTTCATCATATACTGTTGCTTTTGTGTCCTTGATGTCTCCACTAATTGATCCTAATCTTCCATATTTATATGTTCAGTTGTTACTTTAAACATTTTGTTTTCCTGAATTATGTGGTTTCATTATACACTTTTGACTCCTTGATGTCTCCATTATATATCCATCTTGTCTCTACATCAACCCCTCTGCAAGTGTTTGCATATAATATAGCATATAGCAAACCACATATCGGTTTCAGTTCTCATTCCATAGTCCTTTTGCTTTTGTGGCAGGCCAAGATATTTCATTACGGCTCGATAAGTCTCATCACAGAACCATGCAAGTCTGCCCACATTGCTGCAGCAAAAGCTGCAAAAGATGCTGGTGTGATTCTTTCATATGATCCAAACCTTAGGCTCCCGTTGTGGCCTTCTCCGGATAACGCTAGGGACGAGATTCTTAGCATTTGGGACACTGCTGATATCATAAAGGTTTTTTTTTATATACATTTGGGTATATAATATTTTCCCTTTTGGTTCTCAACTGAAAACTTGTTGTGTCTCTGTTTTGAATCTTTTATAAAGATAAGTGAAGAGGAGATTGAGTTTCTAACAAAAGGAGAAGATCCTTATGATGAAACTGTTGTCCGCAAGTTGTTCCATCCTAAGCTAAAACTACTTCTTGTCACCGAAGGCCCTGAAGGCTGTCGATACTACACCAAGGTGTGAAATGAAAAGTCACTCTCTTCCTTCTTGGTTTTGAGACACTTGTCCAAACCTTAAAGCGTATCGTAATGTGAACTTCGTATCCTCTAATCATTACTAATCTAACTTAACAGGATTTTTGCGGGAGAGTGCGTGGATTGAAGGTTGAAGTCGTGGACACGACAGGTGCTGGAGACGCGTTTGTTGCGGGAATACTATCGCAACTAGCAAATGATCTCTCCTTGCTTCAGGTAACTTCTTGAATTCTTGTCATTTTGGGTTTGAAAGCGTTTGATAAGCCAAGAAAACAGTAACTCTACTTGAGGGAAGTTTAGGCTATAGCTCTACTATAACCAGCCTAGAAGTGGATGTAGCAGTAGTGTTGAGTTAGTTAAAGAGCAGTTAGTGATCGGCTAAATTTATAAGAATTGCAGTTTCGTAGCTTTGTTTTTATCAGATTTAAAGCACATTGTACCATTCATGACCACAAAATGAAAAAACCTGAGTTGTTTGACACAGGACGAAGAACGATTGAGAGAGGCTCTATTGTTTGCGAATGCATGCGGGGCCTTAACAGTTAAAGAGAGAGGCGCAATTCCTGCACTTCCCACGAAAGAAGCTGTACTTGAGGCCTTACTCAAACCTGTCATCTAACATCAAACAAAAATCAAAATGAGAAACAATGTAAGCAGATTCGTGTTCTTTTTTTTGTTTCACAGATTTGTATTTGTTGTTGTTATTGTTGTTGTATCATAGCTATTTAGTGTATCATGCCATTGTTTTCTTATGCTAGTAGCTAAGTAACTAAGCCTATCTCATGTCAAATCAAGAGGTATTTTTTATTATTATTAGTTCTCTCTAGTTTACTGAATTAGAAAGAAGCAAAACAAAGAGGAAAATTGACATATCACATATCAGAAACAGCACAAAGGTAAGCTTCTCTTTCCGTTGATTTTTCTTTTCGTTTGTCTTGTTAAACATTGTTTTCTCATATGATCGATATTGTTGGTCGCTGTTATTAATGGTTGTCAAATGAACAGAGATCTACGATACTAAAAAATTAGAATTTACTTGAAACAAACAATTTTATGGTTAATTCAGTGTCTAAATACTTCTATACAACAATACACCGTATAAATGAGTAGATAATACCGTTAAACTCTAAATATTGATTAGTCAAGACTCAATAGTTTCACATACAACAACAAATTAACGTTTTGACTTTGGAGCGTTCTTGTTTATCCTTTTGTTGAAGCTTAAATCCAAATATATACTCCAATGATGACTTTCATAAATCCCATTTTCCCTTTTTTTAACCGAACCCTTTGAGTAAAATCCAAACTGAGTTTTTCACAATAAGAAACATTTACAAGTTTCACACTTGACAACAAACCACTGATATTTACACTCATCATCTTCTTTCTCCCACTATTTACCTTTACCTACAAGCAACCATCTTCTTTAAACTCCGTTACTCCAAGCATCGCAAGGGCAAGATGACTCTTCATCTCAGATTTTGTCCGCTGCAACTGCGGATAACACTCGATAAAACCCGAAAGATTTGGTATTTTTCGGCTTGAAAACGTCCTTAGCTCTATCAACCCTTCATCGCCTTTCAGGATTGAAAGAATCTCTTTCATCCCAGGTCTACGTGACTCCTCGTTAATCACACAGGCTCTCGCAGCTCGGATCATACGCTCGATCAAACCCAAGTTTTTTCTTGTACATGTCAGTCTTGGATCAAGGAACTCATTTATAGCTTCCATGCCTCTATGCTTCGCCTGCAAGAAATCATCAACAATCTTTTATAAGGCATTGAAGCAGCCAAAAGTGTACCTAAAAATGGTTCCTAGACAAATTTTAATGCTTTAAACTACACTTAACCATCTCTGTTTTGTCAGAAAAGTCTAAACCGTGAACAGTATAAGAGTTTGATCTTTGAACTAGAATTTGTAGTTCAACCTAGCTTATCCTAAACTTGAATTTAGCAGCTTGAGTCACATATGAAATTACATTTATTTAGTTGGAAATAATAATTTTTTTACCTTTCCATTTCTAGAAAATTAGTAATGAGACTTTGTGATAATTAGATTGCTACAACTACCAAAAAGTCAATAAGGTTGGTTTACTAGTAGTTATCAAGAAAAGATGCAAAAAAGATTAGATACCACTTTACCCAAACTATCAAATTTTCTTCACCAGATGGTCTTCTTTCTTCGATTGGCTTCCGACCAGTTATTAGCTCAAGTAACACGACTCCAAACGCGTAAACATCGGTCTTATCAGATATCTTGCCGTGTTGGAAATACTCAGGAGCTAGATAACTGCAAAGAAGTTCCAAAATTGTTGCAAGATCCATAGAATTGATCGAGTTTATGATACATCAAAAGGTTTTTCAAGTTAGATACCCGAAAGTGCCTTTCACTGTCTTACAGAGGAAAGGAACTGAAGGTGCAGCTGTCCAAGTCGCTAACCCAAAATCGCATAACTGCAAAAACCCGAACAAGGAGTTGCGGTTAAAGAAGAACACCTTTGAAGCTGTTCAATGACCAAAAAGTGGTTCAAGTCTCTTTACCTTAGGCTTTTTGTTTGAGGAAAGAAGAATATTGGAGGGTTTGATGTCTCTATGCACAACGCATTGCTCTGTCCCATTATGTAAATAGGCTATAGCCTCTGCAATGCCTAAGGCGATCTTGTACCTTGCTGACCAAGGCAGAGACAATGAGACCTTCACACCTTTGTTCTTCTTCTTCCTATCTAAACATTCGAAAGGCAAACAAAACCCGTCAATATCTGCACAATTTGCTATCCAATGATCTGTTGAATTATAATTACCGTGTAGATAGTGTTCGAGGCTGCCACCGGATACATACTTATACACCAAGAAAAGCCCTTGTTTGGGATCGATACAGAACCCTAGAAGAGGCACTATGTTAGGGTTGTTAAGAGAGCTTGCAATCATCAACTCTCTGCAAAACGACTTTGGAGATTCTTTATCTTCTTTATCAAGTCTCTTGATGGCCAAAGCTTTACGCCAAATCCCGATTCTGCCCCTGAACACATAGCTGCAAGCTCCTCTTCCCAACACTCTGCCTAACCAAATTGCAATATTGTATATGTAGATCCAAAACTTATCAATTAAAAAAATCAATCAAAACCGAACCAAAATCTGGATTGAACACCTAGGATCTATCAACTTAGCTTTAACTTCAAGCAAAAGTAATGCTAACAGATGATCAACTGTTTCAATCATAAACATGGAGGAAATTTTAGGTTTTACCTTTTGAGAAATTGCGCGTTGCGGTGACGATTTCGCTGTAACTAAACCGGATCAAAGTAGTATTAGCAACCGGAGAAATACTCTTCTCGAGTGAAACAGCCCTCGACCAATTCATCTCATCCGTCGATTTCTCTGTCTCCTTAGCCTCACTCTCCAAATTCACCAGCAGAACCGTTGCAGGTCCTTCGGTCACGGAGATATTCCGACAAGAAAACGACGACGACGATGGTTCCTCCCTTTTCATCTTCTCCAGCTCCACCTGCGAGCAAAGACTAAACCTAAAGGAAGAGTGTACTGAATATGGGTCTGAGTCCATAAGCTTTGGTCCTGTTTCCTCCAAAAGCCAAGCTTTGTTGTGTTCTTGAGAGCTTGCTCTTGCTCGAGGAGAGAGGAAACAAGCGAAACCAGAATCAAGAATCATTTTTTCTTTCTTTTTCAAATGGGTTTTGATTAGTGAAGAGATTCAAAGAAGATCAGAAAATCAAATACCTAGAAAACATGATGAGAGAAAGAAAAAAAAAGCAGAAAGAAAGTGACAACAAGAATTCTATTTTAGTTTTTAAAAAGTGAAAAGTGAATTCTTTGAAGCTTTATCATAAATCAAATAACATTTTCAAGAAGAAGAAGAAGATGATGTATTGTTTGTTGTTGTTGGTGTGATGTTGGAGGAAGAAAAAGAGCGGAGGGAGAAAGATAATTGTGAATAAATTAATTATTTTGAATAATTGTTAGGATTACAGTTGGAGAAGATAATTGGGTATAATTAATTGTTTGAATAATTGTTAGAGTTTTAGTGTTCATTGATATAGAAAGATTAGTTGGTAAAGCTATTGTTAAATGCTCAAAGAGGGAGCCCACGACCACAAGAGGAAGAGGGTCAGAATAAATTATGGAAAATTAGTTTGTAGTCTATTTTTTTTGCTTCTCAAAAATACTTTTGTAAGTATTCGAAGCAAAACAAAGTTTCCAATGTCTTTGATTACTTTACAAAACCAAGAAGAACATTTTTATATGTTCATCACACTCTTTCCTTCTTTTTTTTTTTCTTTTTTTTTAAGAGAATAAACACTAGAATGACCTCACAAACAGGTCAGTTTGCTAGAATGATGCTTTACCCTTACATTCTTGCTGTACTAATCTCACCATCAGAGAAAAGACAGTGTAACCTCTGACAATTTAAAATCTGTTTTTTCTTTTTTTGATTTTTATTATATTTTCATAAATCAAAAATATATAAATATATTTTAAAAACAGAAAATCGTTAAAATTGTTTTAATAAATTTTCGAAATTCTGAAATTCATAAATTTATTGTGTACACACGATTTTAAAAACAAATTGGACGAAAACCCTAGAAGGCGACGGCGACGGCGATCGAAGACCGAAACTTCTACGTCTTTTCCGGCGGTCTGGTTCTTCTGTGCTTCTTCCGTCCTTCTTATCAGCGTGTTCTGCGTCTCCGGTGAGCATCATTTGAATCATCAGTTCGTTTTCCAAAAATTTGCAAAGTTTTAATTTCTTTGGTTTTTAAAATCGAGTTTCTTCACCGTTATGGGTTCTGTCAGCGACAACAACCACCAGAGAAGAGTAAAGAGAAGTTGTGTAACCCTAATTTTGTTTGTGTTACAGCAAGCGGTTCTTTTCGTTGAAGGATTTCAGAACCGACGTGCGTCGAAGAGTTTTTACTGGTAGACTTGTTCATATATATGTATGGTAGACTTTAATATTTAGGTATAATGGTAGAGTTGTTTATTAGTATACGGTAGAGTTGTTAAATTATGGTTTAGGTATTAATATGGTTTAGTATCTTACTGACTCTTGAATCCTGCTTGTACGTGTAATGAGATTTGGTCTTTAATCGGTGATAGACTACTCAGGTTCAGTTTGTACAAGTTTGCCGATATAATGGGTCTCATTGATCCAATCTTGGTAGACTTGTTGTGTTGGAATTAAGTAGACTTGTTGTGTTGGTATTAGGTAGACTTGATGTGTTGGTGTTAGGTAGACTTGTTGTGTAATTGTTAGGTATACTTATTCTTAGGTAGACTTGTTAGACACGTATGGTAGACTAAGTAGACTCGTATGGTAGACTTACCTTTGTACTTGATTTCATTGTCATTTTATTGTGATAATGCAGTCCTGGTTTGTTAAGCACCATGAGACGTCGGACCCCGAGTTTTTTGTTGCTTTGTCAATGTTTTCATGACGAGTGGAAACACGACCAAACCTTTCACACCTACGTCATGAAGGATATCCCTCAAAACAATCAAATTGGCGATTGTGGGGTGTATACTTTGAAGTTTATTGAATGTTGGGCTCTCGGATCTCCCATGGATGGCATTAATGATGACACAGTTGCTACGATATGGATGAAATATGCGGCAGAGACTAAGGACGAGTTACCAGAAGAATTGTTTAGGCAAACCCTTCAGCTCATAGATTAAGGATTGTACCTTGAGATGACCATTTTCTTGTTGTAGCGTTGTTGGTGGTTATTTGCTATTTATTTTGGTAGATTGGTCGCATGGACGAACCATTCCTGCAATTGTTGAAGCAGGTTTAAATCAATGATAGACTTATTTAACAACTGAATGGTAGAGTTGTTTTATTGTAAGATTTGTTGACAACTGAATGATAGATTTCTGGCAGTAAGTGGTAGACTTGTCAAATGGTAGAGTATAAATATAACATAAGTCTACTTTAAAACTACACAAATCTATTACAAAACAACACAAGTCTATTACATAACAACACAAATCCTCGCAAGCTGAAGATCTTTTCCCATTCAGCTCATTACTCGCCGCTTTGTCATTAACCTCGACGCATAGGCTGATCGTCTCGTTTTCAAAGTGACGTAAAAACACGGCAAATTGTCGAGGATTTGCAACAAAAACCGGTGGTGAATCTTTGGGTAGCTTGGGACTAGATCTCTTCAAAAGCATATAACTAAATTGAATCTTATAACCACCATGAGGTGAAAGAGATACAACATCAAGAGAGCATCTGATACAGGAGAAATCATCGACAAACACTTAAGGGCGGCTACCCTAGATGTAGTTAATGCGGTGGTTAAATGTAGAAAATTTGGTAATAACTGTTGGATAAAAAAGTAAATTTGTATCAATAAGTGTACCTTCAAGTGCAGGAAAATAACTCTATCAAATTTTATAAATCTACCAATTTTTAAAAAGTCTACCAATTTTCACATAACTCTATCAACATCAATGCTACAAAATGAAAAATAAATCTACTATATTACCCAAAAATCTATTTTTTGAAAAAAAATCTACCACCACCAAATATCTCTATTACATTGTCTAATAGATCTATCACTCAGAAAACAAATCTCATGTTTGAAAATGTAAGTATAAGTCTATCACTCAGAAAACAAATCTACTTCGCAATAACAAATCTACTAAGCGTTTTTAAATCTACCATATACACAAATAAATCTATCACTATGAATCTAAATATCTAGTAGTAGATTTTTATTCTTCAAAAATAAGTCTATGTTTACGAAAACAAATCTACTTCAAAAGGTCAATAACTCTATCAATTTCGTCAACCAAAATCAACTTTCCATCATTATATCTACCAAATAGAAATAAATCTATCTTACATAACAAAAAATCTACCAACAAAATATTATATCTACCAACAAAATCAAATCTACCTTCATGTTGAAAATAGGTCTACCAAAAATAAGTCTACCAACATTTTACAAATCTACCAATATTTTTGAATTCAGAGGCCAACATTTACACAAATCTATCAACGGATAATATATGTACCCACAAACGTGTAAGTCTATCAACATAAATATCTCTACCATTAACGATGGTAGATTTATTTTTTAGCGCATTTTTTTCCTGCTGGCGTAGAAATTAGATAATAATGGCATTTTCGTAATTGTGTTTTTTGTAACCAAAGCGTCCGAATGGTAAAATTAGGATTTTTTAAAAAGCAAGATTGTTCTAGTATTTTCGAGATTGTGAGATTATTCTATTAATTACCATCTTTTTTAAGGTTCTTAAAGCAATCCTCCATTTTTTTAATGAACGGCTTCTACACCTTCCACTCATAATCTCTTCCAACCTCCGGTACTAAGTCAGCCTAGAAATTCTGATTTATATGCACACTCTTTCCTTCATTTCTTCTCTCTATCTTGGTGGTATCAGAATTTTAGTCACTAAGCCAATGAACCCTGATAAAGGTATACTAAGCCCATTAAAATAAGGGTTTCCTAATAGAAGAGGATGAAACAAGCTAGACAAAAAAAACATTGTTACCTTTTAAGCTTGTATAAAATGTAGGATGGTACTTTCGTTCTTGCAATATTAGTTTCCTAGATCTATCTAAGGAGTACTTTTGCAAATATTGGCACTTTCTTTTTTTTATATAGTTCTTAACACTTTAATTATAGTTCATAGTTTCTTAGCATTTTGTCATTATTCAGGACAATTTAACCCATGTACAATACGGCATATACGTCTGTGGACGGTACACGGATAGACAAAAGAAGAGAAATTTTTGTAATTTACACACTAAGAAACCAAAAAAAAAAAACAAATTAAATGCTAAATTTGTAAAGAAAATTGAATTAAGTGGTAATCGGTGCATATCTGTCATCTATTTTCTATGAGTAATCAATTATACATCTAATAACTAAAATTTTTTTGATCTTTTTCTATTTTCTAGAACTTTAGAAAATCTGAACATTAGATTAAATCTTTTTTTTTTTAAGTTTACAAGTAAATGAGATAAGTCAATTAAAGTATCATCTTGTTTTCAAATGGCCCCATAGGAGCAATTTATCAAGGACTTGTTCCTTGTGAGTAGTTCGTGCGACATTTAATATTTTCTCATCTCTCATGTTTGTAAAGTTAGTCTCATATTAATACGAGTATTTTTTTTCTAGCAAGAATTTAAAATAAATTTTAAATTTAACGCATTTTTATTGATTACTGTTCTCATGTTTTATTTTTCTTTATAAAGATATATGTAAATACTATAAATCGTGAAAGTAATTATAAAATATATATTTTAGCGATTTCTAATATCATAATAAATGGCAACTTTTAAAACAAATCTTATATATAAAAGAGGATCAACTCTCTCCATATGAGTGACACCTCATCATTTTCGATTCATATGGAGATGACATGTGTCATATTTTCTTTAAAAAAAATAATTAATAAATTTTTAATATTAAATTTTAAGTTTTAACCCTTTCAAAGAAAATAAAAAAACTTTTATTGACTCTTAAATAACATTTATGTAGATATTAAACTAGAATTTATGTTATACTTAATTAAAAATACTGATGAATCCTTTCAAAGAAAATGAAAAGTTTTTTTTATTAACTCTTAAATAACATTTATGTATTAAACAAGAATTTATGTTATAATTAATTAAAAATAACATATACAAGTGCATCTTGGTGGAATATTTGTAAATTATACAAGGTATATATTTGTAAACATTTCTACGAGGTACCATCTCATAAAGCTTATGAAAGCAAATACACAAACGATTATTTATCTTATATATAAAAGAGGATCAACTCTTTC